CGTTGATGACGTCGCGAAATAACAACAAACAACAACGTGTCATGTCCGAGCCTAGGCAGTCATGGAAGCTCACTGGCTCCTGTGTAATTCATGTTGAGCCAACTGCAGACGAAAAGGTTACAATCTTTTCAGAGATAAGCTGGAAGAAAGTTCTCGACAGTGCCCATCAATGGAAGGATTTTAATACTTAGGAATGGAAGTTAGCGAAGTCCTTGGCTTGCTTAACCGTTTTTCTTCGATCGTCGCTTCCAACCGTCCAGGCGCGTCTAGCCTAAAAAGGGCCTACATAGCAGGTCGAGATCCATGAAAAGTCGTATATAAAGATGTGGGTTACCCATATCTTTATATTTGCACAAGTAATTAAAATTGTTTATTGAGCAGATTAATCACACTGATAAGCAATTGTACTACATTCGGCTGATGCACGGTCATTTCAGCAGCCATGGTTATACATAAAAAGTTTTAAAAAAAAGCATGTTGTAGCTAGGTAAGTAGGACTATTGCTAATGAAATTATAGGGCCGCCAAGGCTAGGTAGGTAAACATATCTGGCTAAACGACCTACCGTATGTATCTAGGCATAGTTAGGCTTAGGCCTACGCCCTACTCAGTTCAGTAAATAATATTATACAGTCTGATTATAGATATATACAGGCAGCAAAATTGTAAACCAATAATACTGCAAGGGTGCCTTTAAGGTATGTTAAGCCTCATTAAAAATTCTATAGTCATTTTTATATTTCACTACTTTTTCACCATGAATAATTAATTTTGCATTTTATACTTTATCATTTCAGGTTAATGAACTGAAAAATATGGCCAAAAAAAAAAGAAGACATGGGAAGCCTATAATCATATTGTATCTCCAGTTAAAAACAAACACAAATCAGTACTTCAATTACAATTACAAACCACTGCGGACAATTTTCAAGAAACTGTTTTTCTGTTTCAAATTAAACTATTGAAAACCAAAGTCCAGTGAAGATGAGGGATTTTGGGACCAATATTCTTATAAACTCAAATATTAAAATAAAGCAGTTGAAAGAGATACCATTCCAAATTTAGGTATTTATCAACCCAAAACATTCTTTGCATTCGAGTGTAAGCAACACTCAACTCGTAACCATAAAAGCTAAGGTTATACAGCTTTCGGGAACCAAAAAGTGAAATGGGCTAAAACATTTACAGAATGTATGCTGATTGATCCATCGTGTTCAGTACAGACAACTATTTGGGAAAATTTCATTTACAAAATTAAACATCCAGACTACAGGCAAAAATGTTTGAAATGTTCAATAAGGTGTCAAATTGCAAGTGATAAAAAGTTTTTAAAAATATGTTTTCTGTAATAAACCGACTTATAATTAAAATAAAATTGCTGGTACCGGGTTACCGGGTAGCACAGACACGAAGGGACCCTTAGGGGCGAAGAAAGTCATTGATCGAGTTCCTAGTCCACATTTCAAGCGCCCTGAGCATCTTACATTAGATGGATTTGTGCGCTATATAAAACTACACTATTATTATTAATTTTAAGTAATTTTTAAGCTACGCAATATGAATAAATTTGAATTAGGCAAAAAAATGGACTTAAGACGAATTTAAGCTGATTTCTAGTTTAATAAATCTGGCCCCTGGGCACTAGGCGAATTCGCCCAAAATGCAATATTTTTTTCATTACACGTATGATGTTCAATGATTAACTACGAAGTTTTTCACTGCGCATGCTTATGACTATGATGAGACAAAATTCATGATTTGCACTGCTGGGCGGACTGCATAAAACGTTTTGTGCCAGTGAATTGCGACATTAAAACGGACTCTGGTATCTACACAGGAGTAAATGCGCAAAAAACACTAGAAACGTGATCACGATCTCATCATTATCCCTAAACTTTGACGAAAAACTTAATAATATATAGATTTTTGAATATTTAAAAACTTGGGGAAAATATGGAAGAAGGGGTAGATCGTTGGAATTATCAAATTTCATTGACGTTCATTCTGTTTCAGTACGTTTTATCCTATAAATCCTGTAGCAATTTTGGAAAAAAAGGTGCTTATTTAAAATAGGCAGGTCTATTTAAGACTATATACAGTTACAACAATTAAATAATTTAAAAAATCATATACAATTCCTGTAAGATAATATACTAATGAATTATAATAATCGATAAGAAACCTAATGTTATTTGACTTTAACAAGATATATAATGAGCGATCGTCACTGGAATTGAACCCAGGACCCAGGGATTGGAAGGCAAACATCTAAATCTGCACCTCCACTTTAAGTCAATGTACTTGTTTGCCACAAAATGAAGCAGGAACAGTCAACAAGTAACGTAATAAAGAAACACAATAACTTTGAGGGATAACGATAATAATTTAATGTTAAGTTCCATGAAATCCATCCTGTATTTACGTAATTTCTGTTTAATTCATCGTTTTGGGCTTCTGAATTTTAAAAGTTAATGAATAATAAAAACTGCACTTTGCTTAAAAGTATAACATGGTGCAAAATAAATTAAGATATTTAAAACGATTAATTCATGCGACCGTCGGGCTCAGTAAGTGGTCCGGCTTTAAGTACCAAAGATACATTTAACCTTTAAAATTCCACTTCAAATTATGTAAGTAACTGTAAACAAGTAATCAAAATAATAATATAAAAAAAACCCTCAATCCATTTAAAGTAGAACATGATATTCTGTAAAATACATTAATGCATGAAAAATAATTAATTAATAAAATCTGTAATTGATATTAGGCAACACGATGTCTTTTTTTAAATACTTTTCAAAGACCAACTGTACGTAAACTGTGGCAAGTCATAGGGATATTATTACAATTGTCCATAAATTTTCACACTGTTTGGAATACAGCAAAGCCTATTTTAGGCATTTTGGCCTCGCCGTGGCTTTCACCATGCATAGGCCTAAGCAATGTAGCTTTCGATACGTCAATGAACACCTCTTTCCCGAGGGGGAAGTCAAGCATGGATATTCATGTTATCAGTTCACCTAACTGACCTAAAATAGCGCCCTCTATAATTTCTGACTTTTAAGATGCCAGTACTTATTACCAAAGACAGCATAGTACAAACACTGCTCCAAGCAAAGCTCTACACTGGTGCATAGTTCATAATCAATATCGGGCCATTAAAACAAAAATCACATTTGTTTTTAATTGTAAGGCCTAAATTTGGCATGCTTACGGTATTTTCTAGTTTTTCTAAATATCACCGTCTTGATTTCAACGAAAGAAAAGTACAGCCGACATTTAACCACCATCGATGTTAAGTGATGAAGCATATTTTCTTATTTGTTCATATGAAATATAACTTAACACTATTATAATAGATACAAACCTCGGAGACGTACTTTTCGCTTCCTGTTCCCGCTGTTTCAATGATATATATTAAGGTGCGATTCTAGATTCTTTCACTTCGCTACCAAACTATCAACTGTGAGAGTATAATTGTCACTACAAAAGGCAAAGCAAATACGTAAGTTATCAGAGTATTATTTTAATTTATCTTAATGTTTTAATTTATTCGTAATATACTTATAATTTGTGTTGTGTATTGGGTTAGTCATTTTAGTTCATTTTGTTTTGTTTGGTAATCCTTGAGTACTTCATATGTACTTTAGCTTTGTGCTACCGCTTTGTATTTCTCGTTGTTATTATGTAAGTAACTTTAAACAAGTAATCAAAATAATAATAATAAAAAAAAACCCTCAATCAATTTAAAGTATAACATGATATTCTGTAAAATACATTAATGCATGAAAAATAATTAATTAATAAAATCTGTAATTGATATTTAGGCAACACGATGTCTTTTTTTTAAATACTTTTCAAAGACCATCTGTACGTAAACTGTGGCAAGTCATAGGGATATTATTACAATAGTCCATACATTTTCACACTGTTTGGAATACAGCAAAGCCTATTTTAGGCATTTTGGCCTCGACGTGGCTTTCACTATGCATAGGCCTAAGCAGTGTAGCTTTCGATACGTCAATGAACACCTCATTGAAGTATTTACTGGACCAAACACCATGAGCAAAAATACTGTCCTAATTGGAAAATCTAAGAGTGTATACCACTTGGCTTCAAAGAGTATAAAACAATGATAAGTAAAAAGCAAAGAAAAGGTTTGAAATGATCTATATGAATTCGTCTAAAAAGGAATTTAAGTTTGTTCTTTTTTATAATGTTATTTAAAGTGATGATTCAAAGACTCCCCACACCCATAACAGAAATATCTACATTTAAACTAACATACTAAGAGTTTGCAGGCCATGTTAGCCATTCATTGCTCTAAATAGTATTAAAAATATGCTGCCATCCAAAAATAAATAAATAAAATCAAGATAAGCTTAAATATTAATTTAAAACTTCGAAATGAGAAACACATCAGAGCAAAACCGTTCGATTTTCCATGATTTGTAGACGCTTTGTTTTGGTTTTAGTATTACAAAATCCTTAAATTGCTGTCAGTAATTTAAGGAGGAAGGAGAAAAACCCATAACTCGCAGCGCTATTGTGCTGAATTGCGTATGGGCGTAGTTCTTGACTAAATAGCAGCCGTAAAGGCCCTTTATAGTAACTATAACATGTTCACATAATTCCATAACGACAGGGGCTGAAATGAACCATAGTATCGCTGTAAACCCCCCCCCCCCCCACCAACTACTCTTCCGAGTAGATACACTTTTTAAAATTATTACATGTCTTAATAAAAACATTACAGACATTTTGCAGTTGATGGGATTTCGCGCGGAAAATGTTTTTAGCCAATAGTTCCTTTCAGTTGCCAGCCGACATGAGTTTAGTTCCGTTCAGTTGCGTTCAGTTCCTTTCAGTTGTGCGGAGCGCTCATGCCGACGAGTTAAGTTGAGTTGAGTTGAGTTCCTTTCAGTTCCGTGTCGACCTGAGCCTGCCTTTAGAAAAATCAGTTGTACAACATATCAATTTGTTCCGCCGGAGCCTCCAATAAAAAAAAAGAAAAAAAAAAAGATAAGAGTTCCATTTACCAGGCTAACATCTAGAGTCTGTAGCCAACATTGCATTAAATTATATGATCCAAAGATATAGATTTTAATTTCTAATTCCACCAAAGTGTAACATTTGCAAACACACCAAAGCACATTAAAACAAATTTTAAATGAATTTTATTGAAAACCCAATGATAAACGTAAACAAAAGTATATGAAAGTTTAATTTATGATAATGAAGAGGAATAAAAGTAAATTAAAAGAACCATGTGTTGTAATTAAATTGTAAATCTGTAAATAATCATAGAAGAACCATTGTTAATATTAATTAATAATAATACAATAAAATATTCGAATTGTGTATTTGTATATAATTATTAAAGAAATGTTTATATTATTTATATGAAGAAGCGTGACCAATTAATATTATATTGATCTTAAAATTGATCTACAATTCTAAAAGAGAACTATTCACCTTTTAATTACATACATAGAAATTCAATTACCATTATTATTTTGACTACACGATGAAGCATTTTTTTTTGGTTCTTTTTTGTATTTGTTAGGTGTATGTCTTTTTGAAAATGACGGATGATAGTGAACTTACCGGTTACAACATGACGAGAGAACCACCACCCTGGATAAATTGCTCAATATATGTCTTTGAAACAATCTTTTTGAATTACAAGGTTCTTCATAATATTGGTATTATTGATTCTTACGCGAAGTATTTGTTCGCCATTATCCTGATTGTGTTATTTCTAACTGGATGTACTGGCAATATCCTTGTTATTACATTGATTCATCGATGCAGACACTTACGAGGTGCACCTGCCATGTTGTTAGCAAACCTTTCAGTAGCCGACCTGTTAGTTTGCATTGTTTACTTTCCATTTTATCTATACATTTTTTTGGCGTCAAGAATTTGTATCCATAATTCGGAATTTGTGATGATTAATGTTCTTCAGTTCATTGAATTCCTATCACCACTATGTTCAGTTTTGACGCTTATAGCTATTAATATTGAGAGGTACGATAGCACACGTTTATATAAAGTGATGGATATCAGAAATATACAGTATGGAAATCATATATATATTAATATATTATATATAATATATATATATATATATATATATTGATATATTATATATATAATAATAAATATATATATATATATGAAAATGAAAAAACGGTGTACAATCATTGAAATTTGACTTGCGGAACACAAATTTATTAAGCTATAACATAATCAAACGGATATTTCGATAGCTCCTATACAATTTAAAATTAAATCGGAACAGTAGAGAAAATCCGATCAGAATGATAAAATAAACTAAGCATTCACTGGAAGGAATCCCAATATCTGCAGATGGATCCGTTCCGGCCTTCCAGGCTTCATCAGTGCAGCTAGGGTACAGACCAAAAGCAAACGTTCGACCAGTTTAAGTGGGGCCCAAACTAGTCCCACGGCCACTGATGATTACAGAGCCAAACCAAGGCAATATATATACACAGCCCAGGTGTGAATGCAAATAGTGGAATACAACATGACTTCAACCTTATACAATCTTTTGATTGGCCAAAAAAACGCTGGACTGTTCCGTTTACAAAAAGGGTAGATTTTTTCATAAAAAATATCAAATGACAAGAATCTCCATTCAGAAAAAAAAAACTAAAATTTTTTCATAAATATCAAATGAAAAAATATATTTTAGTTGTGTTTGTTGTGTCAAATATTCAAACATTCATTATTCATTGGACGCCTCCACCTAATACAATATTTCCATCGGCTAAAAGATAATGGACTGTTCCACTCTGATTCCTGAAGAAAGGTAGACATAACATTTTTTCATAAAATCAATAAAATATTGTTGCAAAATTTGGAACTAAAATGTTTAAAAATTGAGTGTTTTTTTGATTACCAAATTGTTGCAAGTTGTTTGTGTTGAAACTTTTATTGCAAGGTAAGCCTAACTTCTTTTTTTTTTCAACAAATGACAAAGATCTACTCTAAGTGTGTTAAATAACGAATAATGAATGTTTTGTATTTCTTGCAATGGGTAGAATGTTTTACGAGTTGAAAGATTTACTTTTCCATTCAACTAGGCTCGGCCGGCCTCGTTGAAAAAGTTAATGAAAATATTCTTCACGTTGTACTCATAACATTCATTATTTGTATACCATTCCACTAAATTTTATGATGATCCTTTCCTTAGTTTTGCGTAATCTTAATAGACATACAGAGGTGAATACATAATCTCCTTGGTAAAGGTAATAATAATAATATAGAGATGTATACCGCGCCTTTTGCCAAGGGATACAAGGGGCTGCCGATGTTGTTATTATTACCATTATTGTTCATCGGATCCATAAAGATTTAAGGTAATAATGATATTAATAATAATGATGATAATAATGATATTGCACGTTTCGTGTCTATAAGTATAAATGTGTGTTTGCTTGTTTGTATGTTTGTCTGACTGTCGGTCTGTATTTGTTATATACTTCCACTACCGCTAGCAATTGACGTTATATATTTTCACATCTCCATTTTTAAGATATTACGTTGTGAAATTCCCGCTGAGAGTCCGCACTGTTATCACGTTCAGAAGAAAATTGTTAGTAATCGCAAGTATTTGGCTGATTTCAATCCTGTGCTCATGTAATATTTTTATAAAAATAGTAAGTAATTATAGTACACAACATAATTGATAAGACCTAATATTAGTGAAATATTTGTATACTTGATTAATGAAGACGAAAACGAGGTAGCAATACAATGTATTTTAAGTAAACTATATTTTACATACATTTTGTGTATGACGGTACGAGTATTTGGGCTTCACCCTTCAACAAGGTTTTGGTCTATCTTTTAAGGTATACATGAAGCGATGGTTACGAGATGGCACACCGGCCAACGAGGGGGTGGGGGCTATTAAGATAACAAGGCTTGTTTCCTTCCTGTAAAGTAGCAAACATCTACGATATTATATTATATATAGATTGCCTCTCGGTGAATCCCTGGTCCCTCAGTCCAAAGGGGGCATAAGGCGGGAAACGTACCCTCCAACTAATACCCAGCATTTTTCTACAGAGCCTTGACTTTAGAGTCCAGTAATTATTATTCAAATTTCAAAAATGGCAGAGCTTCGTACAGGGCATGGGACGGATCCAGAGAAATCCCAAAGGGGCCGAAAGTGGACCGATAGAGATAACACTTCCCGAAGGGGTTCGGGGGAATGCCCCGTGAAATGTTTGTTTTCTAGACGCCCGAAAATAACGTATGAGGCGTTTTCTTTTCGAAAAAAGGGTGGGGCCGTCCCGCCCCCCACTCTAAATCCGCACCTGGAAGGGGATTTGCACCTTCCACCCTTACCCTCAGAGGTACCCAAATAACGTGGGGCTATTGCAACCATGAACCCTCCACATTTATCCCCACTGTGACCCATTCCCTTAAAAATGAAATCCCCGCCACAGATTAACACGTGATTGATTTAATAAGTTGTTTATTGAATTGTGTTAAACGTTGTTCTCTAATTATGTAGAAAGAATATATTAGTATTCATGATGGAGTTGGTAGAAGTGCTTACACTAGGAACTGGTGGATTCCCATTACACAAATATATATTCCTGCAGTCATCCTGATAGCATCTTGTGTGGTTACAACTACAACCCTCTGCAAAAGAATACACTGTAGTAGTGTGCATGGAGTCATCACAAGTTCTAACATATCCCCATCTTCAGGCAATTCTCTAATAATTACAAAGAAGGTAAGCCTATATCTTATTATTTCATGCTTATTCTAATCAAATATTTACCACTCGTTAGTCCTGGTTACACCATTAACCGCGTCCAATCTATTTTATAGGAAAAAACTTTTCCTGGCGTAAGAATGAACCTTTTCCGTAATATTTTTTTTTTTTTTTTTTTTTTTTTTTTTTTTTTTAAAAAAAAAATTTTTATTTTCTTCACAATTTTTTTTGG